AAAAAGTTTGGCTATCTTATAAGGCTGGGCATATGCATACTCCAAATTACAGTAATTTTACTCTTTAATGGATACCCTCGGAGAAATTTTGGCTTAAATATATTTGAAAGATAGTTCATAAATATATTTTCCAATATAGTAAAAAACATTAATATATATTAATAAATAACATTAAATATATATTACATATACTAAATATGTGTATATATATATATATAATAAAAATGGGGGGGGGGGCTGGGTGGCTCAGTCAGTTAAGTATCCAGCTCTTGATTTTGACTCAGTTCATGATCTCATAGTTCATGAGATTGAGCCCCACATCCAGCTCTGCACCGTCAGCGTGGAGCCTGCTTGGGATTCTCTGTCTCGCCTTCTCTCTGCCTCTCCCCTGCTCACACATGCACATATGCTCGCTCACTCTGTCTCTCTCTCAAAATAAATAAATGCTTTAAAAAGACAAAACAAAACAAAACACACACACACACAAATAGAAAGTAGTCACAGTCCATCAACAGAAGAATAAAAAATAAACTATGGTAGGTGCACCTGGGTGGCTCAGTTGGTTTGGTGTCCGACTTCAGCTCAGGTCATGCTATTGCTGTCCATGAGTTTGAGCCCCACATCAGGCTCTGTGTTGACAGCTCGGAGCCTGGAGCCTGCTTCGGATTCTGTGTCCCCCTCTTTCTCAGTCCCTCCCCCACTCATCTCTGTCTCTCTCTGTCTCTCAAAAAATGAATAAACGTTAAAAAAAAAAACAAACAACTATGGTAAACGGGTGAGGGGAGTGGGAGATATGGGCTTCCAGTTACGAAATGAGTAAGTCATGGGGATGAAAGGCACAGCACAGGGAATATAGTCAGTGGTACTGTAACAGTACTGAATGGTGACAGATGGCGGCTACACTTGTGGTGAGCAAAGCATAACATACAGAGAACATACAGAGAAGTTGAATCACTCTATTATACACCTGAAACTAATGTAGCATGTGTGTCAACTGTATTTCAATTAGAGGGGCACCTGGGTAGCCCAGTCAGTTGAGTGTCCAACTCTTGGTTTCAGCTCGGGTCATGATCTCACGGTTCATGAGTTCAAGCCTTCAAACCCTGCATCAGATTCTGCACTGACAGCACAGAGCCCACTTGGGATTCTCTCCCTCCCTCTGCCCCTCCCCTGCTCGTACACACTTGATCTCTCCCTCTCTCAAAAATAAATAAACCCTGCGGTACCTGGGTGGCTTAGTCCCTTAAGCGTCCGACTTTCGCTTAGGTCATGATCTCGCGGTTCGTGGGTTTGAACCCCACGTTGGGCTCTGTGCTGACTGCCAGCTCAGAGCCTGGAGCCTGTTTCGGAGTCTGTGTCTCCCTCTCTCTCTGACCCTCCCCTGCTCATGCTGTCTCTCTCTCTCCTAGAAATAAATAAAAATATTTTTAAAAAAAAAAAAATAAATAAACCTAAAAAAATTAAATAGATATATATATTACAGGTCAGCTGCAAGTTTTGAAGATGCCGCCCAAAGGAAAAAGTGGTTCTAGGAAAGGGTGGGAAGGGGAAGCAGCCTCTGGGAGTGGCCATTCTGACAAAGAAGGCTCTGGGTCCCAAAGGTGGTGGCAGTGCAATAAAGGTCAGACATGTTCTATGTGAAAAACATGGGAAAATCATGGAAGGCAAGGAAAAGTTAAAGTCTGGAATCAAAGAAGTGGCTGCACAGTATAGTTGAGGTAAAGCCAGGCAAGGGGGTGACAGGGGTTGGATGACCAGAGGGTCCATGATGGAACCATTTCAAGAAGCAGTATTGCCTTGCCTGACACTGAGCTAGATAAGCCTGTGTTTATAGACCCTGCAAGTAAAACAGAATTTGGATATCATATGATTATGATTGAAGGGAGAAAATAAAATTGTACGAAAGACTGAAGAAATATACATATTGGCCAAAAAATAAAATTGTTCAAAAGAGACAAAACAGAATAATTTTTCTTCTGAAATAAACAGGAAGAACAAATTATGGTATCCCTACACTCTGGAATACTATGAGCAGTAAACAAAATAGATGAACTATAACTCACCAGCTACAGATAAGTGAATCTTGGAACTCTATCACTGAGTGAAAGTATGAGTCATCAACAGAAACTGTACTCATCGGAATGACCTATAACGTGACATCATTTATATACATTTCAAGAACAAAACGAGTCAATATATTATTTAGGGAAACATGTGCATGTGATTTTTTTTTTTTAAAAAACTATTTTATAAGAATGCAAGGGCATCCATCATAAACCCAAATTGGGAGCATGGTTAAACCGGCAAATTAGAGAAGAGAAAAATCTGAATAGCCAATGATTATGTAAAAAGATACTCAATCTCATCACAATCAGGGAAAATTTACAAAGTAAAACAAGGTGCTATTTTCCATTCATACGACTGACAATATTTAAAAATCTGATAATATGAACTATTAAGGAGAATGGGGAATATATGGCTTTCATGAGCTTGGGCAAATGTAAATTAGTAATGTGAATGTGAATGTGAATGTAAACTAGGCCATTTTTAGTAAGACTGAAGAAAAGCATACCTATACTAGGTCCCAGAGATTCCTATTCTAAGTAAACACTCTGGAGAAACTTTCACACAGTGATAGCCCCCAGAAATGCCATTGCTGCAATGTTTGACAGACCCTAATTGTTCTTTAGGAAGGAAACAAATAAACGGGGAATAATTTATATATGAATGGTATGAAGAAGCCCAAATGTATGTATAAACATGGAATGAATCTCAAAAGATAAAGTGAAGTGAAAAAAATATCACATTATTCTATTAAATTTTAAAAATTAAAAACAATGTCATGTATCTCATTACGTGACACAAGAACTTGTTATTTGTGTGTATTGCTTGTATGTAGGCAGAAATAATTTAAAGTTTTTATTTATTTATTTGGGGGCAAGGGAGGAGAAGAGAGAGGGGGAGAGAGAGAATCCCAAGCAGGCTCTGCACTGTCAGCTCAATCTCACCATGAGTTCACAACCTGAGCCAAAATCAAGAGTCGGGCACTTAAGTGACTCAGCCACCCAGGCGCCCCATGTAATGGATTGTTCTTGAAATATTTTTGGTGACTGATTAACGAGGTTTGGGATACACAGGGTGAGGCAGTGGAAAGGTAATTTTCTTCTCCAGCTCATTTTCCTCAACTTAACAAATAAGTAAGTAGTAAATACATTATGAGAGAAATTATAAGAAAATCAAGCCCATAACAATGTTTAGAGTGAGGCTGCCCCTCCTGCATTAAAAAAATAACTTTAAAAAAATACCTTAATGGGGCACCTGGGTGGCTCAGTCAGTTAAGCGTTTGACTTCGGCTCAAGTCATGATCTCATGGTTGGTGGGTTTGAGCCCGGCATCGAACTCTGTGCTGACAGAGCTGCTGCTTCTGTGTGTCTCTCTCTCAAACCCTCCCCTTCTCGTGCTCCGTCTCTCTCTCTCAAAAATGAATAAACATTAAAGAATAAATACATAAAAATATAAATAAATACCTTGAAATCATCTATGGGCCCCAACCCAAGGCTCCATCTGGTTTACTCATCTCTTTATGGACAATTAAGTATTTGAGCTTAATTAAAATTCTCATTTGTGATCTGAAATAGTGTAGCCCTGTTGACTGATGGGAACCTAGTCCGCCCCATGGTCTAACCTTGTGGAAACTACAGTCCCTATAAGGCACTACAGCAGGAGCTCCCGCCCAGGGGAAAAAAGAATGGGATGTTTCTTTTTTTTCTTTCTTTCTTTTTTAAAGTAGGCTCAAGGGCTTGAACTTACCACCCTGAGATCTCAAGAGTCACATGCCCTACCTACTGAGCCAGCCAGGTGCCCCAAGAATCAGGTGTTTCTGTGGGGAAAAAAATTACAAATCACAAACATGTGTACCCCCAACCCCCCATATACTACTTACTTGTTAATCTCACAGCATTTTTAAATATTAATTAGAATTTTAAGTTAAATACTAACTTGATTCATCTAATGAAATGTTACTTTTTTTAAAGGCCAGTGGCCAAGTTGATTCTATGTAACCCATTATCACTGTATTCTTTTATCCCTCTCGCAATCATGCATAATCATACAGCAATTTTGTCACTTTATAATAATACTGATTAACCCCTATTACTGGCAGATTTAACAATTTATCTGTAATCTTCTACAAATGACTGAAACTAGTAAATACTACTGTATATCACCCAAAATGTCAACATTATAAACTGAATTGACAGATGTATGAAGTTGTATCATTTCAACATTTGACACAATTTATAACTGCTTTTTCTTATTGTTCAAATGCATCCAAAAGCCACTGTGAAGCAGTGAGGAAGCAGTAGAACTGATAGTGCAGGAAACTTAGAGCTGGTGAGGATGGGGAAAACAAAGGGGGAAAATCACTATTTTTAATTTAACAGAGCATGTATCCCCATAAGCATTAATGTGCTGTCCCGTGGAAGTTCTCTGGTTTCTGGTTCATCTTTCTACATCCAAAAGGGCCGTTTCTACATGGCCCAAGGCTAAGCAGTATTTTCAGACCTTTGTTTTTTTTTTTTTTAGCCATTTAATCAATGATCAACTCCATGACAGGTAAGCCTCACAGTTATGGCCCAGTTACCTTTTAAATAACTTTATTCTTGAAAGGATGTTCTGAACTTACCTTATTTTATCAGTAAATTCTGGCGGGTACGTACATTTTTCTGGAGACGTTATAACTCTCAAAGATGTTCAAAGGGGTTTGTAACCGCAGAAAATCCAAAGACGCTGCATTAAGATAAGCTCTCTTCGGCCACGTGGAAACAAACACGCGGCCCTGCCTTCTCGGCTCCCCTCCGCCCCGGCCTGTTCTCCGCGCGGTCCGCCGAAGAGGGACGTCCGGCAGGGGTCGCTGCGCCGCTTCCGCCGCTCCCGTGCGCCCCGCCCGGCCCGCTCTCGCCGCGGCGGCGCTGACGGAAGGGGCGGGACGAGGCCGGGCGGGGCCTGGAGGCCCGGGTCCGCAAAGCCGTGGGGAGGGATCGAGGGAGGGAAGAGCGGCCCCGACTTGCAGGTGACTGCGCCCCTGTCGGGCGAGCGGTGCCCCGGCCTGGCGCCCACTCTGTTGCTTCTTGGCGCGCACTCGTGAAGTAGTGGCGCGGCGAACGTCTCTGCCCAGCCTGCGCTCCTGCCAGGACCCCGCGTGAGTCTCCCGCGTCCTGCCCCTGCCTGGCCAGCCTCGGGACGCCCGTGGGCCCGGGGGCTGCGGGGAACGTGTGCACCCCGCGCGCCGAGGCGCTCCACCCGGGCCCGGCCGCTACTGCTGGCTGCAAGCGACCCGGAGCTCGAGGACTCAGGTGTCCAGTGTCCTTTGACCTTGAGGACCGGGAAGGTGCGCAACGCGCGGGGGTGGGGGGTATACGGGGGAACCCTACCCCGTTTCAGTGGTCAGCCTGAGTCCAGGAGAAGGGAAGATTTTCAGTTGCAATAGACCGCAACGCAGTTAGAACAGGTTCTTAACCGAGTAGAACAGGCTCAGAACGTGGAGCGATGCCCAGTGTCCCCGCAGGTCAAGGGTAACGTTGCCTCTTATCCCAGACGTTGATTTCTTACAGCCTTCGACTAGTTCACGTATCTTACGTGTCTCCTGAAGCTCTCACCACAAATCTCCGGGATTCCTGCCGTTTTCATCCCCGCAACTCAGGTCCACACGTTTAGCAAAACAAACAAACCAACCAACCCAGGAAACAAAAAAATCTCTTAAAATGTACTTCTGTGGGGTCACTTACCTGCTTAAGGTCTTTCTATGGTTCACATGCTCTCTGGGTCAATTCAAAACTTCGATCGGCAAGGTCTTTGGAAATCTAGACTTTTGCACTTACTTTATTTGAGCCCCAACTTTGTGGGATCTTTTATGGATTCATTCTGATGCTCTAGTTCTCCTGATCTGCTTTCATTCCGCGGTGGCAAATTAAGCACACTCACCATGTGCCAGGCACTGTTCTGGGCACTTGGGATTCAGCAGAGACAAACAAATTCAGGTGAAGATTTCTACCCTAGTAGAGTTTATATTCTATTAGGGGAAACAGTCCAAAAAAAAAAAAAAAAAAAAGGAAAAAAGAGAAAGAAACACTCTGTAAATTATGTATGATATGATAGATGATAAGTGCTATAGAGGGAAAAAGTAGAGCGAAGTAAGGGATGATTGGGAGGGCAAAATGCTTATTAAATAGAATTGGATGGAGTAGACAACACTGAGGTGACATTTGAGTTAAAGAGTTGAAGAGAGGCTCCTGGGTGGCTCAGTCGTTTAAGCATTCGACTTCAGCTCAGGTCATGATCTCATAGTCTGTGGGTTCGAGCCCGGTATCAGGCTCTGTGCCAGAGCTTGGAGCCTGCTTCACATTCTTGTCTCCCTTGCTCTCTGCCCCTCCCCCACTCATGCTGTGTCTCTCTCGGTCTCTCAAAAATGAAAGAAACATTAAAAAAAGTTTAAGAAAATAAGTTATCTATGCAGTTATGTGGGGTCAGAGTTCTGGTTGCCACTGGGACAAAGACTTAAACCAGAAATGTCCCTGTTGTATGTGAGGAGCATCAGGAAGGTCAATGTGGCTAGAGCTGAGAGAGCAAAAGGAAAGAGGTCAGAGAGGGAACGGAGGGACCTTCCTCTTCTTTATGCTTTTGTAGGAAGGATAAAGTGTAAATTATTTTTGGAAGAATCACTGCTCTGGAAAATAGCCTCTACTTGAGCGTTTGGAGTATCCCTGGTGATGAACCAGTGGAAGTGGTGAGAGGTGCTGGGATACCAGACCGTGTTTTGAAGATACAGCCAACGTAATAACCTCTTGACATGTTGGATTTGGGTATGAGGGAGAATCCAGAATTACTGGAAGCTTTTGTTCTCAGCACCTACAAGGTGGAGCTATCATTCACTGACATGGGGAAGGCCACAGGTGAAACAGATTTGGGGTTGGGGATGTGTCAGAAGTTTGTTTTGGGACCAGTATAGCTTGAGATACCTGTTACACGCCCAGGGTAACAGGGATGTCAAATAGGCATTTGGATATTGTGACAGGGTCCCCAAGACCACCGCTAGGTTCATTGATTCACTAGGAAGATTCAACAGGACTTGGCTCTGAGTCAGGTCTATGATTTATCACAGCAGAAAGGTACAAAGCACAGTCAGCAAAGGGAGAAGATGCATGGGACAGAATCTGGAGGGAACCCGGTGCAGTCTTTCACAAGTCCTCTCCCAGTGGACTCCTAGGACACGCTTAAATCCCAGCAACAAAGCGTGCCAACATATGTGAAATATTGTCTATCAGGGAAGCTCCTTAGAGACTCTGTCCGGGGTGTTTGTTGGCTCTTGTTATATAGGCACTCTCTGCCCAGCATGTACCAAAATTCAAGACTCCCGGAAGGAGAGCAGGTGTTCAGCATAAGAAATTGTACAAGCAACTTAGACGCAGTGAGCTACTCCTGTTAGTTCTGAGAATGGTGAGAATTCTGAAATCCCAAGTTACCATGGAACTTGGGTTCTCAGACTCTACCCTGTGGCCCTGGGTGTCCACTGCTACAAATGGTTATCGTCTCCAGCAAAAATTAGCTTACTATGTTTTCTCAATTTTATGTTCAAAATCTTTTAAATTTTTTTTTAACTTTTTAAAAAATATTTTTTGAGAGAGAGAGAGCATGAGGAGGGCAGGGGCACAGAGAGAGAGGGAGACACAGAATCGGAAGCAGGCTTCAGGCTCTGAGCTGTCAGCACAGAGCCCAACATGGGGCTTGAACTCACAGACCACAAGATCATGACCTGAGCCGAAGCTGGACACTTAACTGACTGAGCCATTCAGGTGCCCCTAAAGTTTTTTAAATGTTTATTTTTTGAGACAGAGCAGGGAAGGGGCAGAGAGGGAGAGAAGACAGAATCTGAAGCAGGCTCACGGCTCTGGGTTGTCAGAACAGAGCCTGACATGGGGCTCAAACTCACGAACCGTGAGGTCATGACCTGAGCTGAAGTCAGATGCTTAACTGACTGAGCCACCCAGGGGCTCCTATAATTTTTTTTAAGTAGCCTCCACACCCAGCAGGGAGCCCAATCCAGGGCTTAAACTCAGAATCCTGAGATCAAGAGCTGAGCTGAGATCAAGACTCAGAAGCTTAACCGACTGAGCCAGCCAGTCACCCCTTAATTTTTTATTGTAGTGATCCATGAAATACAAAGTTTAGAAACTATTGAAATATAAAATTTTCTTTCTTTATGCCTGCTTCTAGAAAATTTAAGGTTTTTTCTATGCATGGTTATTATTCTCTAAGTTAGATAGAATATATATAAAATGACTTTTCTCAGTATTTCTCTTTAAGGTGTTTCAGGTAGTTTCCAGTCAGTATTTTAGAGTACTCTATGGATTGTTATAGCATATAAAAATTATTTAAGGGGCACTTGGTGACTCAGTTAAGCATCTAACTCTTGATTTCTGGTCAGGTATTAATCTCACAGTTTATGAGTTTGAGCCGTGCATAGGGCTCCGAATTGATAATGCTGAACCTGCTTGGGATTCTCTCTCTCTCTCTCTCTCTCTCTCTCTCTCTCTGCCTCTCTCTCTCTCTCTCTCTCTCTCTCTCTGTCCTGCTCCTGCATGTGCACAGATATGCTCTTTCAAAAAAAAAATTTTTTTTTTAAAGCTTTAAAAAATTATTTCAAATTCTAGTCGTGTTGAAAAACAACCCTTAAGTTATGCCTGCTTTATTTCTCAGTTAAGACTCAGATCGGGGTCCCAAGAGCCATGAGATACAGACTTGAGCTCGTGTTGTCTGCCTCATTCATGCCAACAAAAATAAGGCTCAAAATGTTAAAAACACAACTTGGAGGTAGATAGCCGTGTGCCTTTGAGTGGGCTTACAGGTAATTGCTATTGTCAGTTTTGTGATAAATGGAAAGTAGGAAGGAAAAATCCTTCAAACCATCATCAAAGAAATCTGTCTGGAAGTATAGCCTTGGCACCATGGAAAATCATTCTCAGACTCAAGGTACGAGGATATTGACCATATGGCGACCCTTCTCAAATTACTAGATAATGGTCTCTAAAACCATCTTGGTGTACTTGGGAAGGTTTGCTACCCTCATGGTGAGATGGTATCTGCTATCTTTGAGGTAGTACAGGAACCGACTGCTCTCTGGCATGTCAACTCCTCAGTGCCTCAGGAAACAATTACCTACTTTGTGCATCTCCAGGCCCCTTCCTTCTCTGCTAGCTAATGCGTCTGTTAAACGGTAGGAGGAAGATGTAAAAGGAGGTAAAATGCAGATCTGTCCAATTTGCTCATTCCTAGCTCTGATTTGCTAGGGTTGGAGGTTGAAATAAAGCTTAGAGATTCACTCTGGGTTTTGTGAAGTCATGAGCTGGTGTCCTTCCTTAGCAAAGTGAGTATTGTGGAGATGTAATGTATGGCAATAGTTTTTCTCTCCATGTGATCTTTTTTTTTTTAATATTAACTCTGGGTACAAATTTTAATGCTTTATTTTTATTTTAGAGAGAGAGAGACAGAGTATGAACAGGGAAGTGGCAGAGAGGGAGACACAGAACTCGAAATAGGCTCCAGGCTCTGCACTGTCAGCACAGAGCCCGACGTGGGACTTGAACTTAGGAACTTCTGAGCCAAAGTCGGAAGCTTAACCGACTGAGCCACCCAGCTGCCATGAGATCTTTTGTTTTTTTTTTTTTAATCATTGAGAACTACTGTTAATATTTTTCAGTAGCGATAAGTATCTAAGCAAATTTGGGGGATGGAGAAGAGAACCAGTGTTTTCACACATAGTATCTAGTTCCACCTTCATGTCCACCCTGTGAGGCAAGCACAGCTAGAAGAGTCACCAGGGTACAGTGCGTGGCCCCCAGTACGTGCAGACCACTACAGTCTTCTGTAGGGGAGCCTAAGTGCGGTGCTGGATAGGAAGTGTTCGTGGTATGTATGGTTTGTGTTGAGAATGCCAGGACGCCGCACTTGTGAAATAAAAGTGAATTATAGTCTGTTTCAGGTTCTGTGCACCATGGCTATGACTAGTGTCAGACTGCCTGCCGGCGTTTTGAGAAAGCCAGATGCCTGGGTCGGACTCTGGGGAGTGCTGCAGGGGACACCTTCATACAAACTCTGTGCATCCTGGAATCGATACTTCTATTTTTCTAGTACCAAATTAAACACATCAAATTGTAAAACATTTTTCCATAACATTTTCTCACTGAGACTCCCTGGGCTTTTAATATCCCCAGAATATGTTTTCCCATTTTCCATAAGACTCAAAAGTAATATAAGCTCTAAAAAATCCACTAAAAAGACACTGCAGAAAGCCACAGCTGAAGAGGACTCCGATGAGGAGAGCCAGGGCGAGATGAGTGAGCAGGAGGAGCCGGACGACGACCCCGGAGCGGCCAGAGACTATAAAGACCTGGAGAAAGTAGTGCAGTCTTTCCGGTACGATATTATCCTAAAGACGGGCCTAGATGTTGGAAGAAAGTAAGTATGATGTACATTTTATTACAAAATCCTGTCTTTTTGTTATTTTAATGCACTGTCTCCAGCTCCGCAGCCCGTATCATGGTGAGGAGTACGCACAGATAGGAAAGGACCTTCCAGGGAACCTGTTCAGTTACTTCGTTCCACACATGAGAAAGCGGATTCCCAGAGGAGTCAAGTGACCGCCTGCCTGCACATCCCATGTGCCACCTCTCCCTGATTCTAAGACACAGGGGACTCTAAGGTGAACCACCAATTGAATACCAGCTTCTTGAGGAGGGAAGGCATGACCACGTTAGATGGGTATAGTAAGAAGCAGCTGTACGCGGGTTTCACAAATGCCACAGTGTGAGAAGGTCCTTTTAGAAGCCACAGAAGCAGTAGAATGTGGTGGTTAAGAATGCAGGCTCTGCAGCTAGACTACTGGGGTTTCAATCCTGGTTTGCTGGTGACCTTGGGCAAGTTACTTAAATTCTCTGAGGGTCAGCTTTCTCATCTGTAATATGTAAAATAACACCTACTTTAGGAGTTGGTTGCTAGGATTAAATGAGTATGTCTCTCCTCCATCTAAAGCACTTTAACAGTGCCTGACACGTGGTAGGTACTCAATGTATGTTAGCTGCTATGAAGAAAATACTATGTGTGTTCATGTATGGTGCACAGAAATATTAAGTGTAACTTTCACAGTTTCTCTAGTGTTCTTGTTCTCTCTGCTAAACTAATTATATAAGAATAGTGACCCTCATTGTTCATTCACTCCTTTAGCAGTCACTGTGTGCAAACTGCATGCAAGGTAAGAGTCACGGTATGGATAATAAATTCAGAAGGGTCTCCATGTGTAATTTATACCTTTATGACCTAATTTAATGGCATAGTTTAATTTTTTAATCCATGAAGTTTAAGGACTCATAAAGGTGACTGATCCCATAGGGACCCTTTTTGGGATTAACTGAATATTGTCTAAAATCTGGCAAACTTGTAAGAGAGCACCTCTTTCTTCCCCAGAGGAGTAGCTGATGCTGTTATCATTAAGCCAAAGCCCAGATATTACTCCCCTGAAGTCAGAGCAGCAAGAGAAAATGGCACTGATTTTTGTCAGCACCCTCTCCTGGTCTGGTTGCCCTGGTGATTAAGAGAGACCAGGAGACCGGCAGCTGCTGGATTGGAATTTCCCCAGTCTCAGTGCAGACTAGCAGAGGATTGTTGAGTAGCCTCAACATTTCGTGTGGTGCCTGGTTTGTCTGGCAGAGCCCAGAGCCCTTTGGTGGTTGTGAATCACGGGAGCGTGTGCTTTGCAGGAGTCGGGGAAGTAGTGCCCAGCCCTCACAGCCCCGTCAGAGCGCTGGTTACCTGCTGGTGGTGTGAGCAGCTCGCGGCTGCAGGCCCTCGTCTGTTCAGGAGAAGCCCCTGATCTCGCTGTCTTACGTACACATGGGAGCTGTTGACTTCCGCTTTCCCAGCACCCAGAATGGAGGCCTTTGTGAAGAGGCTGGTGACTATCAGAGTAAAACATTAATGGCAGATGTTTTTCTCCGACCTCTGTAATTGTTTTGAATATATTTCTATCTCAAAGCATTTGGGTTTTGTTGTTTTTTGTGTTTTTTTAAAAGCAAGGTGGAAGATGCGTTCTACAAAGGTGAACTCAGGCTGAATGGGGAAAAATTATGGAAGAAAAGCAGAACGGTGAGATATGACAGCCAGATATTTTTGTCTGTTGCTCTGCCAGTACTCAGTGCCACCTCAGTGTCCCCTCAGGCTCCTTACTTGGGGTGTCAGTGTCTCCTTGTGTGTGTCTCTGTTACCCTCTCTGCGATTCCCTGAGGACCTGACAGGCTAGTGTGGATCCCCAGCCAACTTCGGTCACACAAACCACTTGCTCTTTTGCAGTCCTAATGACTTCAAGATGAAGCTTTCCCTTCATTTGTAAAATTTTAAGACATGCCACTATCAGAACTGGCAACAGTCCCTTAGTTACACTTCCAAGTCCCATGAAATCATAAGAGTGAGTCTGAAAAGAATAGTTGGTCCACAGAGAGGTGACTTTGGACTCCCGGACTTCTGCAGATGCAGCCTTTTGTTCGTTACCCACCAGCACTTGCTGGATGCCCTGCTCTATGCACAGCAGTGACCAGAACTGAGCCAGCCCCGCATCAGTACTGTTGTTAGGAGCCCAGAGTGCTGACTGTGCACCCTCCATACTGTTGTTAAGTGAAAGTCAGTCATAAGAACACGTATTTCCAGTATCCAGTATTGTTGCAATGAACTGTGTATATATACTGTTAAAATTATGTACTTTTGTAAAAAGTTGCATTTTACACGTACCTAGAATTAAAATACTAATATTACTAGTATAAGGTTATATTTTCTTCATTTTTATTTTCTGACTTTTTTACAAGTATATGTCACTTTCATAATTGGGAAAATGATACAATAAAGTTAACAGAACAATGAAAAAGTATATGACAGAGACCCTTAAAAAGTTTGTAGACACCAGCATGTGAGGCATTGGCAGATATAATCTAACACTTCGTGTCTAGGGAACAAATGCCCCAGGGAAGTTGGACACACTTTTGTGGGTTATGATTAGCTTTGCTTCATGGGGCGGGAGGGACCTGAGCTAAATCCTATTGCCCTGCGACACAGGGAGGGTGTGAGCTCTTGGCCACGGACCTGGGTGAGCACCGAGGCTTGTTTCAGAGACCTCGTTCTCTGGGGTTGTACCAGTCTTAGGGCTAAATGGACAGTGCTGGTCTCAGCTACCACGGTGCGAGGCCCACGGTCTCTGATGGCACCTGGCCCAGCAGATTGGGCGTGTCCGTCGTTGTTCTGTAGGCGCAGAAGTCAGGCACTCCAGGCGTGCGTCTGGAATCCAGGCTCTTCTTGCCCACACTTGCTTCCCCCTGGTTGCAGCCCTGCCCCCTCTCCTCAGCCACAGTGTTCCTAAGACCAGACTTGTTCTGGGTGCACCGAGCCTCTGTACCAAGGCCTCATTTACACATGCCACAGTCTGTTTTTCTCCCCCTGTTTTGAGATAGTATTCACTACAGTCTAATTGCCACTGCTTCATTCTGCCTTGGGTGTTCTGTTTTCTCGGCTGCCTTCCAGATTTCTCCTGAGGGTCAGCAGAGGAAGGGGCCAGTGTTAACACTCAACACTCGGGCTGCCTCGTTACTAGGAGGCCTGTAGCCATAGTAACTGCAGCTAAGGGGAGATTTGAAATGTAGATATTTGGAACAGCCCGTAATCCCATCCACTTTTGCTTTATGTCTGCTGTGCTGTCTCCCACATGAGAAAGGACTGGCCCTTGCAGAGAATAAAGGACACCTCCCTCACTGTGACCTGCTGCACAGGGCTGTGCCTGCCTGCTGGCTTTGAAGGGTCAGGCAGTTTCCTGATGCTGCAGCTGTAAAGCTGGCTGCCTATAGCAGAGCAAAGCTTTTCTGTTAGCTGCAAACCAGGTGGGGCCCGAGCGCTGGAGGTGCTGGGTCCCTGTTGACTTAAACAAAGGGTGTTTAGAACCTGAGTACAGGGGCTGAAGCCTTCCTGAACTCATTCTCTCCCTGAGAAATATTCCTTCCCTTTTCTCTGCCTTGGAAGTAAGCTACCAAAGGGATCTGCTCAGCCACACAGGAGCCTACTCTTTTAAGGGACAGACATTAAGCACAGTATATCTGTGGAGGGATACACAACGAGGGTTGCCTTTTTCTCTGTGTATCCTTTTATACTTTGTATATTTTGTATCATATGCATATGTTATTAAAAAGTGAATTTTAATGAAATAAAGTTATGCTGAAAAATGTAAAGCCTTGTATTCCTGGACATTGATTTTAAATGTCCATCCAGTTGGGCCAAAGGGTCATTTATTTTTTTCTTTTTCAATTTTTTTTTTTATTTTGAGAGAGCACATGCGAGCAGTGGCGGGGCAGACAGAGAGGGAGAGACAGAATTCAGAGAAGGCTCCACACTGCCAGCACAGAGCCTGTTGCGGGGCTTGATCCCACAAACTTCAAGATCCTGACCTGAGTGGAAATCAAGGGTCAGATGCCCAACCGACTGAGCCACCCAAGCGCCCGAGTGGTTGGTTATTTATTTGTTTAAAGTTTTTTTTATTTAGTTTGAGATAGAGCACAAGCAGAGAAGAGGCACAGAGAAAGAGAACCCCAAGCAGGCTCCATTGCTATCAGCGCAGAGCCCAATGCGGGGCTTGAACCCACGAACCATGAGATCATGACTTGACCCAAGATCAAGAGTCAGACGCTTAACTGGCAGAGTCACCCAGGCACCCCAGTGGTCATTTATTTTTAGTTAAGCATATAAGAACTGCAGGAGAACAGACCCCCTAGCTGATGCCTGTGTCAGCCCAACCTTCAAGTCCAGGGGAGAGGCGGTCATCACACCCACTTGTGGTGTGAGCCTTTCTGCTTCTCAGCCCAGAGGGGAGTATTAATGGTTTATCATCAGCTGCTGTGCGAGTTCACATCCAGGCTGTCTGGGCTGAGCGGTATGGCATTGTGGCTGACAGGTGTGTGTGCCCATGTTTTGGACTGAATACTGGGCCCTAGAATGGGTGGGAGAACAACACGAGCTTGCCCTGGTGAGGTACACGTGTGACAGCCTGATGTTACGACTGCGGCCTCAGCGTTAACTGGAAAATAAGTAGAAGTGGCACCACACTTCTTAAACACAAGACCTCCAGCAGGCTTTTAAATGGCCGGGTGTTCTCCAGCTCACCTGGCTCTAAATAAATAAATGGCCACGTGCACCCACTTAGAGTCCATGGTCCCCCCTGTGGGGCCACTCCCCGGCTTCTGTTCTGGTAGGAGCAGCGTCTGGCACCTGGGTCACTTTAGCTCCTTCCTGAGTCACTGGGCAGATCCCCCGGAATCCTGGGCTGCCAGGAGTGGCAACACGGTTAGGACTGGCCTAGGACATGGCCCTGTGCTACTCAACCCAAGGCGCCCCTCTGGGCAAGAATGGGTTTGACCTCGGCCTTTTTAACCCACTGAGTCCGCGTGCAACGGTACCCTCCTTTCTGTGGCATACCATCTTGGTGAATTGAATCCTGTCTATCTTCTTGATGATGTGGCATTGCTGGGACTAATTAAGTGTTAGAATGGCCGTTTCCCTACCCTTTGTCTAAGGGAAAACAGCTGACTGTTACACAGCAACTAATTTTCAACAAACTGCCCTGTCCCCAACTATGTGGTTCATCTGGGTTGAAATCAATGAAAAGTTACACTGGAAATGTTTGTCTCAGTGCCGGTAGTAATTACTATGCACATATTCTCTAAGATTGCACCCCACCATCTTTGTTTCTTGTCATTGCTACCAAAACAAATGCCTCCAGGGGTTTCCTTGAGTCTAGTAGAGGTAGTTGAGCCACACCGCACAAGGGCTGCCCATAAGCAGCCAGCTAAGTCTGAAGGAAGGACATGGACAGTATCGGGCACGTGTGTCTGGGGCATCTCTGAGTGAGGCCCTTTCACCTGGAGGCACTAGGGATGACGGACAGCTCCAGAGGAACTGCTCCCTTTCCTCACCTGCCCTCTGGGGAATGGTCACCTGGTGAAGCGCAAACCAAGGATGTTTGTGGGGGTCCCTGGTTGGGGGAGCTTTTGACTCTTGATCCCAGGGTAATGAGTTCAAGCCACACATTGGGTATAGAGATTACTAAAAATAAATAAAAGGACACTTGCAGTGGCCTGTGTTTCCCAAAATGCAGTAAAGGCTGAGTTTTCTTTTAATTTTCAGGTGAAAGTGGGAGATACGTTGGATCTTCTCATTGGAGAGGATAAAGAAGCAGAAACAGAGACAGTGATGAGGGTTCTCCTGAAAAAAGTGTTGGCAGAGAAAACTGAAAGCGAGAAGTACAGAGTGGTGTTACGCCGGTGGAAAAAGTTAAAGTTGCCTAAAAAGAGTATGTCTAAATAAATGAATTGCTTTTTCTCAATAATGCTGCTTTCGAGTGATGGGGAAGGGGAAAGCTTACATAGAGGATATTTTTATTTAAGTTCTCTCGCCTTTAGTGGAAACTGCTGAGCTGTTTTGTGGACATCGGGATCCAAGGCTTGGAGATGCCTCCCGTGGCCTGGATTCCTCTCCAGAGCTTGATTTGGGCTCCTTTGACCTCGTTTTAGCCTCATGAGCATGAATGAGATGTGTGCTGAATGAACTAAGCCCAAAGAGGATTTTAATGACTAGCCTGCTGTTCCCATATTAAATACTTCAGGAGTCCATGTAAAATAAATGGGCCTTGTTTGCGCTTTCATTTTAATTTTATCCCTTTTGGCCAACTTCCTGAGTGTAGGCTTAAGGCAAAGATCAAGTAATGGCAAGGTCACCCTTCATATCCTTGAGGGAGAAAACTGGGAGACCCCTTTCTCCACCACCCCTTCTGAATTACCAACATGTAAGCTTTCATTCCCTTCAGAGGTTTGTCTTCAGAAGTATGGATAAGTTGTTCTAACTCATTCTAAAGGGGCTAGATAGGGCTCATCTGAAATTAATTGTTCAGGGCAGGGGCAGCCAGAGGCCTTTTGTTTGGCACTCAAGAATGATTTTAATGTTTTTTTAAAGCATCGTTAAAAAGAAAAAGAAGGAATCTATGACAGAGACCTTAAGTAGCCCACAAAGCTTAACATATTTGCTATCTGATCTTTGAGAGAAGAAAATGTGATGACCCCTACTCACTGCCCCAGTTTACAGTAATAAGTTTAATTTTCAGGTGAAAGTAGATTTTAGTAGTAGTTTTCAGGTGAAACACAGATTTTATCAATGAAGAGAACTAAGAATCAGACCAATTATTCTAATTCTCAAGAACGTATCATAAAAGGGACAAAGATTTAAAAATATATAGTATTAGAAAAGACACAGGGACACCCTGGTGGCTCAGTCATTTGAGTGTCCTACTTGATTTCAGCTCAGGTCATGATCCCGGGGTTGTGAGTGGAGCCTGCTTAAGATTTTCTCCCTCTGCCCCTCTAAAATAAACATTTTTAAAATGTTTAAAAAAATACAAGGGACTCGTTTATAATACACATGATCTAAGGAAAGGGCATCTACAGACATGAACTGGTTCACAGTCTTCCAGGAATAGTTTCCTAGAGCCAGAAGGCCAGCTCACGTAGAGACTATTAGACTGTGTCATGTGAGAAAGACTGGCTGTGGCTGGGTCCTTTTATTTATTTCCCCTCCAGGAATTCTTAAGAATTCTGGTTAAGTGACAGTGAAGAGAAACTTCTGTGGCCCCAAACAGTGGGATTTTTGGGTCTATGAGTCTGGAAGTCTTTACCACCTTGGATTTCAGAAGACTCAGAGAAATCGATTTTTATTTTAAAGCTTAAGTTCCCAGGAAGAAATACTATCTACTGTTCAGTGTAACGGGGAATTTTTCTATTTTGCCACTGGTTAATTGGAGTTCACTGACTTCTTAGTAAAAACATGTTTGATTTCAACATGAGTTAGTTATGAATTATAATTTAGGAGATTAATGTCTATAGTTTTCCCCATTTCCTTTACCTTTCTCTGTCCCTGTCTCCCTCTCCCTCTCTTCTTCAGACTTCTTGTTGGAAAGTTCTAGAAAGTCTAATTAGTATGGTGCGGGGCAGCACAATCTTGTGATGTGCCAGGTGTCCTGGTTTTTAGGCTCAGTCTTAACCATCAGCGAATTGGGTTCCCTTGGTCACAGTTTGACCTTAATCTCTCTGAGCTTCAGCTTCATTCGTCAAATAAGGATCAGGATACTAACTGACTTACGTTGTTGTGCGTCTGAATGAAGGAGAAAGTCAAAATGTGTTGTACAAGGAAGGAAGAGTTGCTGCCAGCTCCGGAATGGGAAGAGCCACGGGCAGGGCTTTTGGAAGCCCTGTTAGTAGTTCCCATCTCCCCCAGCTGCTTGCAGTGTTTGCTTTGCTCCAAACCGCTCTGTTTTAAAGAATCAAACTAAGGGAAAAAAAGAAAAGAAAACACCTGGTGGGAGAATGTCGGTTTGTTGACGACACGTGGCAAACACTGCTCTCGCAGCGGTCTACAGGACGAGGGCCTTCGAAAAGATTCATGAAATAGCAGAAACAAAAGCAGTTTATAAACATTTGTAGAACTCTTGGGGCGCCTGGGTGGCTCAGTCGGTTAAGCATCTGACTTCGGCTCAGGTCATGATCTCAAGGTTCTTGGGTTCGAGCCCCGCCTTGGGCTCTGTGCTGACAGCTCAGAGCCTGGAGCCTGCTTCAGATTCTGTATCTCCCTCTCTCTCTGACCGTCTCTTGCTCACACTGTCTCTCTCTCTCTCTCTCAGAGATAAGTCAAAACATTTAAAAAATTTAAAAAAAAAATTTGTAGAACTCTTGCAAGTTAACTCATTACTTGACCCAAATGACAGTTACTTTATACTGCTACCCTGGTGAGGCCTCCTCAGTGAAAATTAAAGAAAATTTGAAAAGACAGATGAAAGGATTAAAGACCTATGTTTCTAACGCAGTGGTTCTGGACTGGACTATTTCACCCCCACGGGGACATTTGGCAACGTCTAGAGACGTTGGGGAGGCGGTGATATGGGCATCGAGTGGATAGAGACCAGTGATGCCTCTAACCCCCCTACAGTGTCCAGGATGCCCCCGCAACAGAGTTATCTGACCCCACATGTCCGTAGAGATGAGCTCAAGACACCCTGCTCTAAATGGGATGACGAGGAATTTTTTAAGTTATGACTATTTTGGTGGAGGCTGATCTAGCCCTTATAGCAGTAATGATGGTTAATTGTTTCAAAGAAATAGCTCTCCTTTAGGAAATATGATGCTAATTGCATTTCTCTGCCAGATAGCATTTACTGTCTTTCCTGGAAAATTGGCTTTATTTATTGTCTTTCCTGGATGGCTAGACAAGCATTTCATTATCTTTTTAGCATTTTGGAGAGAAAAGTGGACATTTGGGGGGAAAGTGCTTCCTTCAGTCACAGTTTATTTGGTCAGGGATAATTGGGGAGATGGAAACCTAACTAGCATTTTCTATGAAGCTAAAAAGAAAGCAGATTTCAGCTGGGGTGGTGGTGTGTGTTCCCTGAACCGCCTAAAGGATGCAGTGTGCAACTAACACTACTAAAGTTCTGCCTTGTCTTGCTCCTGTATAGTTGGGCTTTCAAAAAGTTACTGTCAGATTCTCAGTCCGCTTACTGACACTCTCAAGGGAGGAGTGAAGGAAATTGTACGCTGCATGGAGCAGACGCAGTGAGCGGGGTGCACCTCCAAACTGCTCTGAGCACGTCACCCAGCACGCCGGCAAGCAGCCGCGGCAGGATACTCGCCTTGGAAATCAGCAGTCACCCCGAAACACTATTTGTTTCCCTTGGAGAGTCATTTGATAAACATTTACCAGCACCCTGTGGGGTGGGAAGGGGCTACACACCCGTAGGTTTTCCACGGGGAAAATGCCCCAGCACCCGTGCCCCCACCGCCCCGCCCCCGCAATTCTCTATTTCTTTTCCCCGTGCTCCTCTGATGTGTTTAATGTGTATCTCTTTCTTTGTATGCTTTCTTATAAAATGTGTTGTGCTGTTCTTTTCATTTTGTATCTTACTTTTTCTGCTCTGTGGTTTTGCAGCTCCATCCCCGGCACATCAATCCGTGCCTTCACACTGCTGCGTAACACCAAAGTGCATCCACCACGTTTTGCCTGCCGGTTCTCCCCAAGTCCCCCCAGCTCCCCTCCCCTCCCTGCAAACAACAGTGCTGCTTACTGGCCAGAACCGCTGAGCGAGGCTGCCCTCCGAGCAGCAACAGGTGAAAGTGCCTGCAGACGTAGCCTCATGTGGCCCCACCTGATCCCGCTTTCTAACTTGTGCCGCTCTGATGTAGGTGTAAAGAGTTACAGTTGCTTTTAACATGCATTCTTCATAAGTTCTCTTTTCCTGCACAGGAAAGGCCCCTCGGCCTGCTGAGTTTGCCTTTGGCAGCTGCTAGGACCTGATCTGAGGGCTCTGAAATTGGAGGCAGCTTTCCCAGCCTGCCGCTTTCCTGTTCCTCCCAAAGACCTGCTTAGGTCGTCCTTGTTAAGTCATCGTTGTTGTTGTTGTTACTCATTATTTGTTAACAGACCAGGCTGCTCAAAGCATGATTTTGCATAGTCTTGACATGGATCACTCACGATGCGCTTAATTCTTGATGTGTAGAGATGGCAACTCTACCCAATGGGCCTTCTATCCTGGGACTTTCTTCTTTTTAAAAAAATTTTTTTAATGTTTTTTATTTATTTCTGAGAGAGAGAGAGAGAGAGAGAGAGAGCAGGGGAAGGTCAGAGAGAGGGGGAGACACAGAATCCGAAGCAGGCTGCAGGCTCTGAGCTAGCTGTCAGCACAGAGCCTGATGCGGGGCTCGAACCCAGGAGCCGTGAGATCATGACCTGAGCTGAAGTCAGACGCTTAACCAACTGAGCCACTCAGGCACCCCGGGACTTTCTTCTTAAAGTGGGTGAGACCTTCCCCTGTGGTCAGGGTAGAGCGGCAAGTATCTAAAATGGGCAGTTTCTGTTGCGAGTCTGGACTGGCAATACCCACTTCCAGAGCCCCACTCAGAGGGGTCACTACTAGATCCTTCCTTCCACATGCAATGTGTAGAATTTCCTTCAGGATTGTAGGGGAGATCCCTTAACCCTTGATTCTGAGACAGATACACAGAAGGTGAGGCTAAAATGATAGCTCTGTGTTCAAGCAACACAAGCAGTATAAACCTGAAGAGAAGGCACCCCTCACCAGGGGTCTCACATATCTGAAGTGGATGCCCCGTCATGCCTGAACTGCGGCTATGCTGAGACTTCTGTGTGTCCAAACCAGGGAGGAGACTTCAGTTTAGTACGTTGTGTCAGAAAATAGCGGGAACCGAACACCAGCAAGACCAAGGCTGTCGGGTTCTGCAGCCAGCGTTCGCAGCATCTTAGCAGGAGTGTTTCCGGCTGTGAGAAGCCGTGAGAAGCCGTGAGAAGCAGGAGACTTGGGAAACTGTGAGCCTGCAGTTGCCTCAGGCTGGAGCCCAGCCCTGTTCCATCTGCACTGGCCTCAGCTGTCTGCGCTGAGCCGGGGAGCCAAGCTTCTCAGTCTGCTTATACCCATGTGCATCTTGAAAATCAGTTTCAGGCAAGAGATGTTAGGTTTTGTGTTGTTTACTATCAGAAGCTTGTCTCCAAAGCCTTTTAACTACCAACTAATGAGTTTGGGACTTGTCAGAGTCATGGAACAGTGCCTAGGAGATAACGGGCATTACAAATACTTTTGCAAAAGGAATGAACTTCCTTTAGAGGCAGACATGATTCTTACTGTATCCCTTGTTCTATTTCCTGCATTGAAAGGTTTTCTGAGTCACTCACTCAGGCGGATCCAGAAACTCAGACTGTGGACAGTCAGCAAATCCCCAAGTGAAATGGTTGGAGGCCACCAGGCAGGAAGACAGAGAAATGTACTGCACACAGCCACATAAGCGGCTGCGCTGAAATTAAGAACACAGACTCTGGAGTCAGCCTGGTCATCATTAGCAGCCCCCAGCTCTGCCAACTTTATGACCTTGACCTCTGAAAGCATCCCCATGTATGAAATGAGGGATGGAAATACCTACCCTACAGGGTTTCTGTGAGGATTAAATGAAATGACATGTCAGATCCCTGTAGCATGTTCCTCACCTATTACAGGTCTCGAAATATGGGAGCTCTTACAAAAACATGAACTCCCTGTAATTTAAAAACCACTGTCACTTTGACTACACAGTCATCACACTGTAGGAGCTTCTGGGTGGACCAGGCTGTGGTCTCTACATCTGTCAAGGATACAGGTCACCATCTGGACTACAAACTGTATTTAGAAGAACAAATCCATTCTTACTCCTTAAAATCAGTAAACAGGCTTGCTTCGGCAAAATGCTCTGGCAAAAGCCATCACATTTGGCCCCTGCCCCTAAGCCTTGATGTGCAAGCATTCATAAACTTGCTTCTTCCCACTGACCTAAAAGCTAACATTTCGTTTATCGCTAGTTAAGAAGCAGTCAGTTTTATTTGAACACAACAGGAAACCACTTATTTTGGCTCAGATCTATTTCTAATAATCGGAAAAGTGCTAAGCCGTGATGTACACAGCATGTTTTGCGAGGTCACTAGCGCAGTGGTTCTGAGTGTGAGCGTGGACCAGCAGACCAGCATCACCTGGGAACTTGTTAGAAATGCAGATTCTTAGGCCTCATCCAGACCTACTCCAGCAGAATCTCTGGGGATGGAGCCCACTCCACTGATGACCTAACATGCCCTCTGGTGGTTTTGACCCTACGCAATGCTGATGGAGAATTACCCAGTGCATCCAACGTCTAGCCGCTGAGGCCTCACGCTGGAGCTGGCCTTTGGCCACCCTGCCGGGCAAGCTTTCCTTTTCCCTGGGAAGGACCCCTCTGACAATGACCAACCAGCCCCTCTGCCTCAACTGGGTCTTATTCTGCCAAACAACCCATATTCTAGGGCTTCCCAGTATGGGCATGAAGGGGGACTGCAGTGGAGGCCACATTCTTGTTCCTGGCCCTTCCTGGCCCCGGACTGCGTTGAGTCTCTCCCACCCCTTCTCCTGAGGGCACGCCCACAACCAATCTCTTGGGGATGCGCTCAGGCTCTGCCCCTAGAGAACCCGATCCTTGCCAGTTACTTTCACAAGTTCTCCCTTGCTCACATTTGCTCCCTATTATCAGAACATGGCTCTCCACAATCGCCAGTGATTTCACACACGGCAATTCTAAAATCTCTCATATCTAAGGTCAAATTGGGGCTTAGAGGATGTGGGCGATAAAGGACACCACTGACTTGCATTTGTTTTTGGATCCAAACCTTTGTGTGTTGTGGCTCAGGGACTGTTTAGTACCCGGGATGGTGTGGTATTGTAGGAATAGACACATGGGTTTAAACCCTGACACCGCAATTTGCCAGTTGTGTGAACTTGGGCAAGAAACACGCTTCTCTCTGCTTCCTTACCATAAAACAGATAACAGTGGCCAAGACACTGAGTTTTTGTGAGAATTAGATGAGATAGTATGCACACCATTCAGGGCCATATCTTTCTTAAAAGGCAGAATTATGGAACTTACCTTAGGGTTTGCGAGAGGATCATAAGGTACAATTTTGGTGTGCCTGGCACATGGCAGATACTCAGTGAATGTTAGGTGCCATTACAGTGAGTAGGCAGTGAATGTTCACTCCTTTCCCACCACTGGCCGGGGGCGGGGGTAGAGGTTAATCTATTTAGAAGCTTCCTGAGCTTCCACTGTACCTCACCATTCCAATGATCGTAATAATTTAGTGTGCCCTTCTTACCTCTGAGAACTAGATTTGGTAAGTAAGCTCTCACATATTGAAATTCTGTGACTTTTTCTTTTTGGTAGAAAACAAACACACCTACAGCCAAAGAATTTAGTTTTGCTTAAACTTGCTACCCCTGACCTGCCCTAGCCTGCTGACGAGGCTTACAAACACACGCACGTGGCAGGATTCACAACTGTGCACGGAGCCACTGTAGGAAAAGTGTTCCAATCACAAGCCATAACTTACTTTATATCTTTGTGACCCTTGGACCAAAAACAGTGTTTCTCTGACAGCTTGAGATACTGTTTTTACTATGACTATTACAGTTAGTAATTTACAATTAGCCAAACAGAAGAAGTGAGAAGAAACAAACACGCATTCTTCCTTTTTTTACCAGTTGATAATGTTAATTTTGAGGAACTAAATCCCAGTGGATCAAAAAAAACAAACAAGAGTGACATGAGGCTCTGCTAGCTTGGCAGAGGGCTGGTCTGGCACCTGTGACCAGGAAAGGCATAAAAAGGTCGAATGCACCTCCCACTATGTGGCCAGGAAGTGGTTTGTGTAGAAAGGGCTAGGATTTATTTGGTGACTTCTCATTCAGCAGCGGCCAGCTGGAATCCTGGGTGAGCTGTAGCCCTGACGGGCCAAGCATGGCAGCCCCAGAGGCTGGGATCCCCCTGGGCGGTCACGCCCTCCCCTGGGAGGGGTTGAGGAGGCCGCACAGGAAGACAGACAGACACAGGTTCTGACAGAAGGGTGCCCTAAGAAAACAAGATGTTACAAACACATTTTTTCGATTTTTATAACATTTTATATAACTCATAAAACAGTGCTTGTATAAAAATTCACACACAGTTGCTAGAGAGCATACAGTTTCCAAAAATGTCCTGGGTTTTTGTTACATTCAGTTTTCTAAGGATGCACTCAAATCAATGGTAAAATGCAGACATTATGCGGTATTTCATTATCTTTGGTAAAACTATTCCCATTATTTTGTCTCCTCACAGTATTAACTCTGATATCCACTTTGTGCAGGGTCTGCTATCACTAGGATGTCAGAAAAACATTAAGGCTGGATCTACACGAGGCAAGTATTTCCAAATGGCAGGAACAGCCCCTTGGCCCCCACCTCCACCTCACACCGCTCTCCACACAGCAGGGCAGGCTGAGAGATCTCAGTGACTTCTCCTGGGGGGGGGGGTCTCAGGACCCCATCCCAATTAGACAAGAAGCAAACATTTGGGGGAGGGGAAGGGGGAAACTGAGGCTATCTCTACAGGAACCTAAGTGGCCATGTTACGGTGTGGTCAGGCCAGTGACTCTTACCATTGAAACAGCTAATCCTTTCACCGCTACGTAGATCCCATTGGTTGGTTGATGATTGCTGCTGAGGGGGCGCCCCCTCCATCCAAACTTAAGAAGAAAGGAAGATTCGGGGCCAACACAGAAGGGGGGAGGGGCACACTATTGCCCATGACACTAGACAACTTTATTCCCTGTCAAACATTTGTTGTCATGTAGACACAGCCAAAGTGAACTGAAGCAGGATTAGAACACTTAGTACATTCATGACTACCTTCATACATTCTTTTAAAACTTACTAACAGAGAAAACGAGGGACGCTACCACCTATTGTGACTGGCTATTTTACTTAACATCAGAATGTGTCTGTGCTAATTCTTTAGTTCTCCAGATACAAGGGAAAAAAATAACCCCAAACAAACAAGTAAAAACCAAAAAATTTAGATGGATTGGGGGAAGGGGTTTACCAACACATTTTATGGAAAACATTAAATTTTGAAAAAAGTATTTTGTACTTCTATTGCTTCATGTAAAAAAACTGCCCTGGAGCCTGGAGCCCACCTGTATGGCTGGAGAACTGAGGACACCATACAGACAGACACCTGCAGGTGTTTCCTGGTGAGACAGTCCAGAGGGACAGGACACAACTTTCCAGAGTGTGCCCACCTCTCTTCTCTAAAAGGGACTCTAGGATTTGGGGCGGGCGTGGGGTGGGGAGGAGAAGCCCTACACAGAAAAGGTAGTAAGGAAACCACCAAAATATAGTTTCCAAAGACTGAACATGCTCTAGGTTGTGAAGAAACACATTTCATTCCTAGAACCTGTTGGTTTCTCTAACGAGGGTAGGGAGGGCTTTTCATTATTAATAAATGATTGTGCTTCTGAAGTCGCAGGGTCAGAGTCCACCCTCTAGAAAGCAGGGCAATTTTCGCATGGCTTGGAATCCTCTTGGACACATCCTAGAGACCAGAACAAATTCCACGGCACTCTCCAACCAACAGGGCTGGCGGGCGAGAGTGCCGCCGCCATCTTTGGGTAGGGCGTGTGCGCATGCACACGCGCATGCGTGTGTTGGAGAGACTAAGGCATAGAGAAAGGCCCAAGTAAGGAGGAAAAAGTGAGTTTCCTGCTGCTCTAGTCCCTTCTTTCCAGGCACAAAGAGGCTGAGCTTGTTATTCCTATAGGCCCCCTTCATCCCACTTAAATTTTTTCGTAAGAAGAAAATGTATGTGCACGTGTGGGTGGGTGTGGGTGTAGGTGAGAGAGTCATTAAGTCCCTGTGCATTTCTAAATTGCAATAATTTAGGGCTGCAGTTTCAACAGAAATAATCTGTAAATGACACTTAAAAGCAAATTTACTAAAATTAGGTCGGCAACTTTACATTGCGCAAAATCTTGTCATAAAAAAAAAAAAAGCCCTCTGGCTGCAGGCAAAATTATGTCATATAGCCACCGGAACTGAAGTCCTTATCAGTTGTATAAGGAAAATTCACAGATTGTTTCTATTATTTCTGCATTTTTAGGTAGCAAAACATTAAGCCACTAGGTTATTAAATCTGCAACATTCCACAAAGGTTTTTAACTACCCTGTGTGATTCAGTTCATTTTCCAAGTTCCTGGTAGGATGTATTCAGCTTGGGTTACACTGTCTCCTTTCCCACGTAGGGATTCGGACCCCAAAGTCAGGTAGTAAAAGTATTGTTTTTCAGGACTTTACCTGCTGGGGACTTTCCCGATTGGAAGTCCTGGAGAGTCTGCCACTGGCCGGGAGTAGTCTGACCTTCCCAACCAGTGAGGAGAGAAGAGACGTCTTACTCCGAGGCCAAGGGACTGGCCAGATGCAGGCAGCAGAGCCTCTAGGGGGTCTGAGGGGACGACTGAGTGGACCCTGGCCAGGGACAGGGGAGCCCCATTTGAATGACCTGTGACCTTCCAATGCCAAATATCCCCAAGAGGGCCTGAGGCCTGGGCTTGCCCTGAGGAACAAGGATGTGCTACCGACGGGAGGGGCTCACACTGAGGTGTGGTGAAGCCACCAGACAGCTCCCAGAACCTGGGTGTCGTACAGATACGCACACAGAAAGTAAACAGCTTCGGTGAGCCCAAAGGGGCCCGTCCTTAAATCAGACAAGAAGCTAGACACCCACACAGACCGTTTTCCAAGGAAATGTGTCTGCCCCTCCAAACAGCATCCTTGTGTAGAGAGGGAAGGGGGGCAGTGGAAGGACACAGCTCAAATGACATTGTGTACGTGTTTCCACGTCTATCTACATTCATATCATCATCATCATCATCATCATCATCATCATCATCATCCAGTGTTCTCGTCTACAGAGTGAGCACAACATTCTACCGACATGGTAACTACAAATAGGCCAGGTCGCGCGAGGCCCCTTCCTCAGCACCACAGTGGAAGGGAGCATTCTGTGCGACCGCGGTGGGAAAGGACATCACACTATTCCATCCCCTCTACTGCCATCCAGGGGGCATCTTGATCCTTCTAAAATCAGATGTAAAAGACAAGGTCAGGAAAATTGGTCTCTGTGCCACCTGAAGCTATTATTAGCCAGCATGCATGAGCATGGCACTACTAAAAATTTCATAAATCTGAAACCACCTTAAAAAAAAAATCCCAGCAACTGAAGTCATCTTACAGTACTTCATCTCAAATATTTAAAAGATATTTTTTTCTAAGTAAAACGGCCCCCAAAGAGCCCAATGATTTTTTTTAAAAAGGGTTTCTTTTTAATTAAAATTTTTTTTGATAAAAATGGAAGGTGTAAAATGTGGGAAGAGGACTAAGAGAGTTGCTGAATATGCATGTGAAATTGCAAGGGGGGAACACAGCCCAGGAGAGGATGCCCTACTCCTGAGGCCTCTCTACCTCACGGCTCAGCTCTCCCCACCTCTGGGGGCACCCCTAGGGCACAGGACAAAAGTCGTGAGCAGGAGAGACCAAACGCAAGGCTTCTTTCCTGGGGTTGGGTGGTGTTTACGTGTGCAAATGTAGTGAGCCACTCCCCACTGACATAAGGTGCGTGTCTGTGGATACCATTCACGTGCTCCAAAAGAGCGCCCAGTCCCCCGGGGGCGCCCGTCACTTCTCCACTTTCTTGGCTTTCTTCAGGATGTCGCACTTTTTCCTGTTGGGGCGGCGGCACCGTTCGTCGATGCTGGGGATACACTCGTAGTGCCACACCTCCTCCATCTTCTCCACCGGGTAGACGGCCTCCACGTAATGCCGGATGAGCCGCAGCCGCGTCGGGTCCAGCTGCTTCTTGTTGCAGGCGCCGGAGTGGTTGTACTGCAGCCGGAGGTTCTCGGCGGTGAAGAGTTCCGGAAAGAGCCTGACCAGGAGGCGGGCCGCGAAGTTGCCCACGGAGAGGCTCTGCTGCACGATCTCACGCACCTCCTTGTCCGACAGCAGGTATGGTGAAGGCACCGGGAAGTCAGGCGAGGGGACCACCAGCTCGTCCAGGGGGATCTTGCAGAAGTCCTTGCTGCTTCTTTCGGGGGGCAGAGGGGGCCCCTCAAACTCCTCCCGGAACCTCTCGGGGTTGATTGCATAGCTCGCCAGGTCCCTGCACTCGGGGCCCGGCACGTGCACCTTGCGCTGCTGCTGGTAGGAGCGCCGCTGCTCGGTGTCCCGGCGCCGGCAGCGTTCGTCCAGCTTGCCCACGAACTCCAGCGTCCACACGCGGTCGTTCTTGGCGCGGGGGTAGAGCAGCTGCACATAGTGGCGGATGAGCTTGATGCGCGACGGGTCCAGCTGCTTCTTGCCCAGGGAGCCGCTGCAGTTGTACTGCTTGCGCAGGTTCTCGTGCGTGAAGAGCTCGGGGAAGAGGTGCACCAGCAGGCGCGAGGCGAAGTTGCCGATGGACAGGCTGCTCTCGTAGATGCTGCGCAGCTGCTCCTTGCTGAGCAGGCAGTCGGCGCCGGGCACCTCGAAGTCGGGCTGCGGGATCTCCAACTTGTCGAAGTCGATGGGCACCAGCCAGATCTTCTTGGACCGCCGGCCGGGCCGCTCGCCCTCGAAGCTGTCCTCCACCTTGACCACGGAGATGTCGTCGGGCAGGCTGGAGGAGTCGTAGCAGTCGTCCCGAGCCGGCTCGCCCTCGCTGCCCCCGTCCAGCGCCAGGCCCTCGAGCTCGTCGTTGAGGCGCTGGGCGCACTGCTGCAGCCAGGCCTCCTCCTCCTGCATGTCGGGGAAGTAGATCTCCGTGTAGTTGCGGATGATCTGCAGCCTCTGCGGGTCCAGCTCCTGCTTGCCGCCGTCCCCGTAGCAGCTGTACTGCTCGCCCAGCTTCCGGTGGTCGAAGAGCTCCGGGAAGAGCCGGTGGAGAAGGAAGACTGCGAACTCGCCGGGGGACGAGGCCTCGTCCAGGAACTCGGTGAGGTCCTGCGTGTCCACCACGTGGTCTGAGGCAATGGTGCTGCTCCGGTCCAGGGACAGGGCCTCCTCCTGGTCCTTGCTGTCCAGGAAGTGGCCGGCGTCCACCTGCTCGGCCTCAAAGAAGCTGGGGACCTGGCCGCCAGGCTGGCTGTCCTCCATTTCCCGCTGGGCCCAGAAGCGGCTGAAGAAGTCGTTCAGCTGGGGCAGACACTCCGCCTGCCACACGGCCGTGTCCTTCACCGAAGGGTAGTAGACCTCCACGTAGTTGCGGATGAGCTGTAGGTGCAGCGACTCCAGCTTCCGCTTGGCTGCGAAGCCGCAGGCACTGCAGCCGCGGGAGAAGTCCACATCGCTGAACAGCTCGGGGAAGAGCTGCACCAGCAGGCGGCAGGCCAGGTCACCGCCCGACAGGCTCTGGTCCACGATCTGCTTGAGCTCGGCCGCGGTGAGCTGGTACTCCGGGGGCGGCTGGAACTTGGCCACCATCTCCGTCGGGCTCACCTGCTTCTTGATGCGGCTCACTTCCAGGGAAAGCAGGTCCACCTTGCTGTGCAGCTGGGACATGTTGGAGGACAGCGTGTTGAGCATGTAGAACATCTTCTGGATCAGAAAGTAGATGTTGGGGTCGCCGTCGGCGGCCACTGCGGCGCTGCCGCAGTCCCGCTTCTGCGGCTCGTTCAGGAGCCGCAGCGGTGAGGGGCTGTTGCTGGAGTTCGCCTTCTCGAAGAGCTCGTATGTGTTGAGCATGTCCCCGGTGGGAGGGTTCTTCTTTTCCATGATCTTGTGCGAGATGCCATACAGAGGCTTCTTGTAGGAGGGCGTGGTCACCTCACCGCAGGGCTCCTCCTCACCGGGCCACACGGAGCCCAAGTTCTTGCCCCTGCTGGCCTGCTCTCCGTTGCCCTGGCAGGGGGAGCAGTTCTCCCGGTTCCGCATGCCTGCCAGGAGTGCCTGGAAAACAAACAGTGCGTTAGGGTGTTCCGATTTACTCCGTGAGACGTGGGTCTGAGTCACACGCAGGTGCCAAGGTCAATCTTGGGAGCATGTGAGGAAGCGAATCCCTCACCCCAGCTCACCCAGCCGGCCCAGGAACCCACAGCTGACACAAACCCGCATCCCTGTGTCAAAAGAGCTCACTCTTCCTACTTCCTAAGAGAGGCCCAGCTGGACCTAGAAGGCGTCAGTTTCCTGCAGGACTCCAGTGCCGCACTTCCCGCGCACAGGGCTGGACAGGCGACAGTGCTGCTGGGGACGGGAGACGCTACAAGGACTAGAGAAGCCCCTGTGGTCACCGCACTGAGCTGGGCCTCTGTCTGCTCTCAGAGGGGCATAAGGACTCCCGCCCACAGCGGCTCCAGTCTGCAGCCTCTAGGGGAGCAGGCACCTCCACTCCACATGGCTCCCGAGGCACACGGTGGTGTGCACAGAACCGGGGTCTGCTGCAACTCTACCACTGCCTGCAGTGACATCTTATCTCAGACAGGAAGAGGGCTGGCCCAGAATTGTCCCAGAGCCCATGCAACTGTGATTCCATGATGTGATGGGCTCTCCCACGTTTCTGAGTCACTGTCTCCCATTGGTCCAACAGCCCTTCTCAACCAGACTGCAGGAGACAACTGAGCCCCAGGGTTAAGGCAGCCACCGTATGTAATGAATTAATGCCTCTCCTATGCATCTACAAAGGTACATGCCGTGTACTATCCAGCCTCGCTCAGCAAAGGACAGTGAGGGAACTAAACCCTTCCAAACTGATTTTCAGGGACGATTTCCATAACTTACCCAAGGATGGCATGCACACTCGGCAAGTCCACAGCTGCAGGACTCCCAGGGCAAGCTCCAGATACCTTTGGAAGACCCCAAAGCCTGAGTCCAAGCACAACTGCCAGACAACAATCACCCTGGCCATCTGAAACCCAGAGAGCTTGCTGCTTTCACCAGTGCTTTTCCCTGCAGCCAGGCCCCAGACAGGTCAGGAAGCTTATTTACATATAGGTGGACAAGTGATTTTCAACACAGGCTCAAAGAAGATTCAGCAGAGAAAGGACAATCTTTCAACAAATGATGCTGGAACAGCTGGACAGACATATGCCAAAACAAACAAAAACTTCCAGCCTGCATGCACCATATAAAGAAATTAACTTAAAGGAGATTTGTGGACGTAAATGTAAAACCGAATTTAAAATTCTAACACTTCTAGAAGAACACATAAGAGAAATCCTTTATGGCCTTGGTTTAGGCAAATATTTCTCAGACATGACAGCATAAGCACAATCCGTAAGAGAAAAAAATGGACAAATTGGACTTCATCAAAATTAAAAAAACTTTTGCTCCTCAAAAGACAGTATTAAAAGAAAGAAAAACGGCTCACATTGGAAGAAAATACTGGCAAATCATTTATCTAATAAAGGAGTTTAATTCAGAATACATAAAGAACTCTCAGACTCCATAACGACATACAACTCAGTTAATGATTACAATAGCCACTTCAGAGAACACATATAAATAGCAAATAAGCATCTAAAAAGATGCTTAGTAGTAGCAGGCAAATTAAAACCCACTCAGAGATACCTCCTCACTCGTACCGGAATGGGTACAAACAAAAAGACAATATCAAGTGCTGAAAAATGACTGAAGCCCTCACAAACTCCTGAGGAGGTATGAAATGGCGTAACCACTTTGGAAAACTGGTAGTTTCCTAAAAAGATAAATATGCATGGCCCATGTGATTCTGTTGTTTCATTCTTAAATATTTATTTACCGAGGAAAATGAAAGCACTTGATCACACAGAGACTTGTACACAAATGTTCATGGCAGCCCTATTTGTAAATAGCCCAAAGCTGGAAACAACCCCAAATTTTATCAACAAGTATACAGATACACAAACTGTGCTATGTTCATATAATGGAATTCTACTCAGCAACAGAACTCGTACACATAGTAGTGCTCATGATGAGTCTCAAAATAATTATGCTAAAAGAAGCAAGGCAGGGGCGCCTGGGTAGCTCAGTCAGTTAACCATCCAATTTTTTATTTTGGCTCAGGTCACGATCTCATGGTTTTGTGAGCTCAAGCCCCACATAGGGCTTTGCACTGACAGTGCCAAGCCTGCTTGGGAATCTCTCTCTCCTCTCTCCCTGCCCCACTCATTTGCACAAGTATGTGTGTGCGCGCGCACACACACACACACACACACTCTCTCTCTCTCTCTCAAAATAAATATATTTTTTAAAAATGGTTAAAAAAAAAAAAAAAAGAAGCCAAACAAGAGAGGCCATGATGTATGCTTCCATTCATATAAAATTCTAGAAAACACAAACATATCTATCAATGGTGACAGAAAGCAGATTAGCGCTTACCTGGCGGTGGAGGAAGGATGCAAAGGAGCACAGGGAAACTTTATGGTAGTGGATGATTCATGTTCATTATCTTGATCATGGTGACAGCCTCACTGGCATACATATATGTCAGAAGTTACCAAATGGTAGGCTTTGAATATTGTGCTATTCGTTGTATTTCAGTCCCAAATTAATCCGCTTTTGACAAATGTTACACGTGACCCCTAAATTTACTGGAATACATTTTTTGAAGGTTTAATGAAGCAGAAGAGCTTACCGGTGAACACTGGTGGTGTCACAGGAACACACAGTGTCACAGGGTTGAAGCACAAAGTGTTTGCTTTTACTGACTGATGTGTGTCCCTAGCAACTGCAGGATTGATAAGAACAAAGTGCATCCTCTGGATGCTTCCACACCCAGGGGAAAATATGGTTGGTGTGGGGTGGCCTAGGCCAGAGCTTCAGAAATTCTAACACACATAGGAATCACCCGGGACCTTGTTACAAAGCAGTTTCTGGTCCCCAAACCTGCATTTCTTTTGATTTTTTAAAAGTTTTTTTTTAATGTTTTATTTCTTTTTGAGAGAGAGAGAGAGAGAGACAGCATGAGCAGGGGAGGGTCAGAGAGAGAGACACACACAGAATCTGAAGACAGGCTCCAGCCTCTGAGCTAGCTGTCAGCACAGAGCCTGACACGGGGCTCAAACCCACAAACCATGAGATCATGACCTGAGCCGAAGTTGGATGCTTTATCGACTGAACCACCAGGTACCCCTCTTGATTTTGTTTTAAGTTTATTTATTTTTTTTAGTAATCTATACATCCAATGTGGGGCTCGAACTCATGACCCTGATATCAAGAGTTGCATGCTCTTCTGACTAAGCCAGCCAGGCTCCCATGGGCCTCCCTTTCTAAAAAGCTCCCAAGTAATTGGTCCTCTCTGAGTAGCCAATGCCTGGAAGATTGTGTCTGCTCTCAGTCTGTCTCACCCAAGCAGATTCAATGTCATTTGCAGGCCTTCAAATAACTAATGCCAGCACAAAACAGCACATGACGTGTTTTTCTCTTGTAGCCTGAAAAGGGTAGGGAAAAGAGACCATCTCAAGAGGCTAGATTTATGACGGCATGTGAGCAATACATAGGTTAGGGTGAAAAGAGAGCATGAGGCCACATAAACATAAAACTTTGATCTTTCTGAGCCACCCCCATGTTATATTTCATTTAAATGTATGGACCCTCCTCTTTTAGATAATGGAATAATCTGACTCAAATTACAGTAAGATTCATTTCCCTCCTGCCTCTGTTGATAGCAATGATGCAAAAGAAAAGCTACTCTACTCCTTAAGAACCTGAAGATAGAGAAATTCTTTTTTTTTTTGAAGTTTATTTATTTAGAGTAAGAGAGACAGAGAGAGGAGTGACAGAATCATTATTGCCAGCACAGAGCCTGACTCGGAGGCTCCATCTCACGAACCATGATATACTCACCTGAGCTGAAATCAAGAGTCGAACTCTTAACCGACTGAGCCACCAAGGTGCCCCTGAAGACAGAGGAATTCTCACAAGGGTTGTAATCATCCCATGGAGCTGGCCAATGCTTTCTTCAGAGTTTGTCTGGATAGAGTGATGAAGGCTCAGAGACACCTGGCCCTCCTCCTCCAACCCAGGCTCCTCAAGAACAGAGGACCAGGGGCTGCTGGGGTGGGAGAAGCCTACCATGAACGAGCTGCCACCTGACCCTCTCCATGCTGGGGTCTCCTCACCAAACTGCCCCATCCTCATCACACTCTATGTTATAGGATGGGACCATGTCATTCCTGAGTCTACCCTCACCCGGTGCCTTCCAAAACGCCTGGGACACAGAATTGCTCGGTGAATGTTTGTCAGCTACGAGCACGGACGGTTAAAGCAGGGCAAGGTGTTCTACGATCCTCAAATATAGGCTTTAGGAAAAGGAGCTGTTCGGATAGGCCGCTAGCTTTATGAATAACACGTCTGTAGAGAGGTAAAAAAGCGTGGATAAGATCTCAGCTCAGGCTGTCCTCTGTGACCTTGGCCAAATCAAATGATTTTTCATGCCTCAGCTTCTAGTACCTCGGGGATAAATAATGGTGTGTCTCACAGGGTAGTTATGAAGACTTAATGAGATAATGTACAGAAAGCACTGAGCCCTGTCTGAAGCATAGTAAGTGCTTAATAAATATTCACTGTTAGAATATAATTATTATTAAGCAATGATATTCCCAAACCAGAGCAGAGGGACAAGTGGGCCTTTTATCAAACTAGGTGTAATGATTACTCTCAAGCAGAAAACAAAAGGAGGACTTTCCTACAATGCATCAGGGTAAGGCACTCATGGAAGGCACTTCTTAGAGGTCTGTTTGCCCTAAAAGCTGGGGGCAGGGAAGGAGCAGAAGACATCAGAGCTGAAGGTGGGGTTTGAAGCTCTTCACAGCTCTTTTGTTCTGCTATCAGACAGAGAGCAAAGGATTCTGAAGGGAGGGAGCCAGGGAGGGAGCCACATGCACACATCATAAACTTGGAGAAAGGCAGGGATAGAGAGGAAAGTCTTCTCTCCAACATAGTATGTTTGGAACTATGGGTCGTGACCCATC